TTTTTTATACATTTGAAACATGACATTAAATATCGGCTTAATGCCTATCATACGACATTTATTTTATTGGAGGCCTGCTGTTTCGAGCATGTTATCTCCATTTGTCATATCCAGAACTGTTTAAAAGACTTTAAAAAAAGGACAAAAAAAAAAGATCTGGCGAAACCTTAGGGACATGCTGCTTCATACACTAGAATGTTTTGTCAATGTTGAGGATGGATGCTGTGCTTCTATTGCTTAAAATATGCATCAGATGGGCTATTTTACACTGTTGAGAATTTTTATACTTGAACTCTTTCTTACAAGGGAAAATATTAAAAAAAGAAGAAGAATAACACCACACAAAAAAACAAGGACATTTTTCATTGTCATTGGATTTGGGCATGTAAAGTGTTATTGACGATTTAAATACGAATGTTCTGTAGGTATTTAAGCCTTCTTTTAGATTTTCAACACTATTTACTCTAAATGTAAATAAAAGGTTCTATATTTAAACCTCAAATGCTTTATTCATTGCACAGGCCTGATTTTTGTTGCTGTTTCCATTGGGAAACAGCTCTTGCATTTCATTGGATGCCTGGATGGTGTGCTCATGGATTGAGAGTGTTATATTGTGTAACCTATTCATTGTATTTCAAAAGCACACATTCTAGGTCATTGCTTCATCATTGAGTCATCCTGGTTCAAACTTATTATATGGTGAATTGCAAATTATTTCAGTGGCTTAAAGTGCTCATGTTTTGTTTCTTATGATCTTTGTTTAGACAGACGGTAGCTTTACCACAGCAGTGATGAAGAACAAGCTGTTGTGTGTTTCTCGTGGATGAAGGTGTCGTGAAAAAGAAGCAGATATTCTCAGCAAGCAAACAGTATAAGCACACAGGCCATCACTTATGCTCGCCACACACAGAGATGCTTATTTATGACCTTGTTTATGCTGGTTTGTGAGGTGACAAATTTAACTGACCTCAACTGTGTCTGTCCAGACATTGCTTAATAATGGAGCTGGTAGAGGAATATTATGGGTTCAATACAAGTTAAGTTCAATCAACAGTTTTTGTGACAGTTAATATTGATAAGCACAAAAACTCACTCCTCGCTTAAAAAAAATAATTTTGTGGTGAGGCACTTACAATGGAAATGAATAGGCCAGTTTTTAGAGGATTTAAAAGCAGAAATGTAAAGCTTATAATTTTATAATTGCACTTACATGATTTCTTTTGTTAAAATGGACAGCATTTGTGGCATAATGTTGATTACCACAAAAAAATTATTTTGATTCACCCATTGTTTTCTCTCAAAAAAATATAAATAAAATAAATGGGGCCAATTTTTGCAGGATTTAAAAGCGGGTATGTGAAACTTAAAATTCCATTTAAAAATAGATGAAAACATTATTTCCTCTGTTAAAACTGACTGCATTTGTGGCAAAATTTTGATTGGCAGAAAAAAAAAAAGAACTCACCCATTTAAAATAATAATAAGGTTATGGTGATGCACTTCCAATAGAAGTGAATGGGGCCATTTTTGGAGGATAATATTTATTCATTTATAAAAGCAGTTAGATAAATTATTTTGTTGAAAATTGTGTATTATGTGATCTGTTAAGATGTTTAAATCATTTTTTAGAGTTGTTTTAGGGTTTTGACAGGTTTTGGCGAAGTTGTAGAAGTAAATCAGAACTTCACACAGAAAACGTTAAGCAGTTTTGTTCACTCTAAAAGCACGTTCACTTGAAAACTAACACTAAAACAGAGAACACCATTCACTTCCATTATAAGTGCATTACTGTAACCTAAATTTTTGAGGAAGAAAATGTTGCAAATGAAAATTTGCAAGTTGCAAATAAAAGCCAAATAAATGTGGCAGATTAAGCTCAATTTGTACTGAACTGCGAATATTCCTTTAGAGATAGTTGAGTTTACTTAATTTGTGAAATTTATTCTGTTTTGCACCAATGCAAATAATTCAAACAAATCCTGTTTGTTGAATAAACATACATGAGTAAGTGTGGCTCCGAGGGCTGTTGAATAATCAACGTGTTTGTGTAAACACATTTTGTCAGAATCACTAAATATAATTTAATATGACTAGTCAGGTGATGCTATAAGCAATTTTGTTTATGTGTGTTGTTTGTGAACCTCATACGGGATAGATTGAGCAATGTTTGAGCCAAATCTCTATGTCATGGATCTGAGATCCACCATGTTGACCTAGTTGTACCCAGTCTTCTAATGTTCAGGACAGAGCACTTTGGGTAATGACCATAAACTGGCTCTAAATTCAGATCCAGGCTGACATCCCATGTAACTCAACCCTACATTTAAATATATCCCTCACAACGCATGTTTTATCTGTACTTAAAACCAAACCAACCTAACACCTGTATTCCTTTCAATGCTGTTTGGCATATTGGAGACCTGCAGTGGCTCAATGAATTATTTAGGGCCTTTCTTATCAATAAGAAATGCCAAAGGGCCACATGTGTGCACTTGGTACTTCTCTGGGATGTTCTATTTCTGCCTGACGCTGGCTCCTGTTTCAGTACCATTGTGACACAGCAGTGGTGGAAATTTTCCACTACACACCATCACCAGGGATGCCTGTCTAACGTCGGCCATGATAGCAGAGGTACTGGGGAAGAAAACACCATGGGGAACTGATGCAGAATAAGGGCGCTGATACCAGCTGACAGGCAGATTACTTGATAATCTGTTGTAGTGTCAAAAGTGCAATGAAGCAAATGTGGAGTGTAGATAATTAGTTGCTCAAGAGGTAATGGAAACTGAATAAACTAATTAACAAAGTAACAAAATGATCATCAAAGTGGGTCGGTCTAATCAGATTCAATGATCTATGCTAAGCTAAGCTAAAAGTGCTACCGCCAGACCCTGAGATCGGCTGAATGGATTCGAAAACGGTAAAACTCAACTGTTTAACTCTAGGGGAGTTGGAAAATGAGCCTATTTTCAAAAATAGCGGAGTGTTCCTTTAAGCTGGAGGTTTGGTGCCCTGTGTTTTAGAAACGATTCTGTCTGTGTCACAAGCTCAGAGCTTATTCTTCCTCTCTGAAAAGCCCAACTGAGGCCCAGGTCAGGCATTTGGCAGGGCCTAGAGAATTCTCTAAGGAGATAACAAGATGACGTGAGCGTTTCCACACTGGGTCACTATTAATTACTGCTGACGTGTGTCAGAGAGAGAGTTGCTCTTTTAGTAGCTACATGTTAAATGCAGCAAATACAGCTCTTTTGTTGTCTGTTCTATCTTTAATGTGCAGGTGAATGAATCAGTGTGGTGTGCTGTTAGCTCCTCGCTGCTATTGTATGATGTTGGATTGTGTGAAGGTGGTCAGGTTATAAGTTGCTAATATTGTTTGCGGGATTGTGCTCATTTGTATGATTGATTTCTATAAACATTATATCAGTCTTTTCTTTTTCGTTTGGTAACAGACATGATTTCTCAATTGAATCAGAATAATTGACCAAATATATGTATATAAAGGGAATCTACAATACAGCTACAAACACAAACACAGTTAATAGGTACAGTGATCACAATGTGATTATTATTTTTCAGTGATATGAACCAGATTGGATGATCAAATTCCACTTCTTTCCTCTAATAAGAATTATGATGATGACAAGCTGTTTATTAGACTTCAAATACCAGCATGAGAAAACGGTTCGAAATTGTTTAATATTTCATACTTTTTGATTTAAAGTGTGTGTGTATATGTATACACACACACACACACACAATATGTACTGTAAATGTTTGTGTGTGTATGATACAGTATATATATATTGGATTTATTTATATTGCCATTTTTGGCATGACTGCACTACATATATATATATACACACACACACACACACACACACACACAATATGTACTGTAAATGTTTGTGTGTGTATGTATATATATATATATATATATGGTCTAATGACTGATTTGATGTATTTTTTATTAATAACTAAAAAACATATTAATGACTAAAACATTTCAGATATAGAACAGAATTTGTATTTGCTGATCAGGTGCTCAGATGGAGGCTGAAACATGTCAAGATAGCAGCGATATTTATGGTTTGTTCTTTTATTGGTTGAGTTCTTTTTGAAAGGTTTTAATATGGGGATGAACATTTTATGTAGTTAAATAGTTTGATAAACTGCTGATTTTGGATTGTTGACAGCAATATTAATGACTAAAACATTTCAGATATAGAACAGAATTTGAATTTGCTGATCAGGTGCTCAGATGGAGGCTGAAACATGTCAAGATAGCAGCGATATTTATGGTTTGTTCTTTTATTGGTTGAGTTCTTTTTAAAAGGTTTTAATATGGGGATGAACATTTTATGTAGTTAAATAGTTTGATAAACTGCTGATTTTGGATTGTTGACAGCAGCATTTGTGACCTCCTCTTGACGCTGTCATACCTGAATTGACTGTTAAATTCCTGTTAGCAGATGAGTATTGAGGTGTGGTCATATGGACGGCTGCCCGTGAACACTCCACGCCTTCATATACTCAGTGTGTGTCTGCTAGATTTGCAGAAAGCCAATTTTAGCTAATACTTCATCATTTATAATAATATATTAATATCATTGTAATAATAATATTTTCTATATTTTTTGAAAATGGATGTTGTTGATAGGTGTGGCTGGTTTAAGTAATGTTTATTATTATATTAATCATTAAGTAAACAAAAAGTGTTAACAGTTTTTTACCTTAATCCCATTCTTGCAACATTTTTGCATACAATGGATTAGATCGCCTCCAAGAAAGTCAATAAAACGTTTCTCATAATTATTGTTGTCATGTTTCTGGGATATGTGCAGTTGTTTGACCGTTACAGGGAGCAGAAAGTGTTTTATTTAGACTGACTGGTACTCAGGTCATGAAGTCCCTACAAATCAAACAGCTTTCATAGGCCATAATGGCCATTTAGCACAGACCAAGAGTTTGCTCTGTTTCTCCAGGACCGTTGTCATGGAAACACTGGTTGAGCGTCTGGAGCAGGCAGTGATTCGTCTGGAGGCGGTGGCGATCAAACTGCAGAACTGTCCTGAGGGTTTGGTCAACGGGGACATCAGCAGCATGATCAACGGAGGTACCATAAGTACAACAGTGCTTTGGATGAAAGATCTTGACAGCAGTTGAATTATTCAATGTATTAATAGTTTTTATTTATAAAGCATATGATGTAAAAATGCTGTTGAGGTCTGTCCACAGGGCATTGTCTGAACAGATTATCGTAAGGAGAAGACCTCTGACTTTTAGGGTTTTTTTCTTCATGGGAAAAATATTCTCATAGGAAAAGAGTGGCATTGGTCTTGGCACACTGCACATAGACACAGTCTGAAATATATAATGGATACGGATGTCAGTGAATGGGATTTCGGAATTCTCTCTTCGATTTCTGCAGCCTCTAGTTTGTGTGTGCAGTTGTTCCTTCAGTGTTTTCAGTCTTTTTTTTTTTTTTGATGTTTGACCAATTTTTTTTGTTTTCTACTTCTGTTATCCATTCTGTAATAACTGATTTAAATAGTGGCATAATTACTACTAATAACAATAATATTAATACTACAATTAATCATAATAATACTACTAATAATTTTAATATTAATTCTTCTTTTCAACAGAAATTTTTTGTTGTAGTTATTTTTATACTGTTTTATTTTAGTCATTGTTTTGTGTCAAATCGCTGAAATACAACTAAATAACAAAAAATATGCAGGAGTCTAAAATTGCTTATCTTGTATCTGCTCGTCTTAAAAAAGAATATTGGTTGATCTTTATATTTCATTGTCTTGTCAAAGATCTCATTAGTTCCAAATCGACATTCTCTTGCAATATTAACATTTCTTTCCTTTTCCAACCCTGACGTCCCCAACAATGAATGGGATTTTAAAGCATCCTCTGTTGGATGTGTTGTTTGTTCTGTTAGACTCTGTTTATTCAGTTGAATTAATTTCTGTTGTCTCTTTGCTGTCTCTTTGATGTTAAGGTGAATCCGAAAGCATGGAGGCGTTCGACCATTTGCTGAGTGGTTCAGTGTCTGAATATTTGAGGACCAGCACAGCTATTGGTGGAGATGTGGCAAAGCATGTAAGTGTGAGGGGCTGTGAATACCAATGTCAATGCAGATTTTACAGAGAGACAGGAATACTGACAGAAGATGAGCAGAGGTAGATAATATAAGAGTGAAGTCATTCTCCTAAGAGCTCTTAGTTTATAGTACCAAAATGACTGCACACACTCACAGACGTCCAAAACGTCAGCCCTAAAAAGTTGCTAAAAAGGAGCTCACAGCTCTTGCTGTCCAGCTTCACATAACTCTGCTATATTTGACAATTGACTTTGTGCTGTTCTGTTTCCTTGCAGCCTTTTTAAATCCATTTGCATCATAACAAATGGAAAATGTTTTATTATAATCTGAAAGCAGATGTTTGAAAAATGGAAAAAGTGAAGGTAGAACAGCTTTTGTTTGTCTAAAGCTTATTTACAGAGACAACTCAGCTTGTTTAAACTGCCGCTTATTTTCGCTGCAGCAATGAAGTGCTGTATTAGTGTCTTGTTGGACTGGAAAATTACTGTTTAACAGTGTTATTTTATTAAAAAAAGGTTATATTAACTTCTGGATTGTTATGAAATTATATAAAATATTTTTAAAAAGTCTAAGAGTAATAAATAAAACAAAACACTTCTGATAGTGTTGTTTCGAAATATACTATTGTTTAAAAGTTTAGGTTGGTAAGATTCATATGCTGACCAAGGGTGTTGACCAAAAATACAGTAAAAAAGTAATATTGTGAAATATTGTTACAATTTAAAGTAACCATTTTCCGTTGTAATATATTTATTCCTGTGTTTCATTCTAATAAGCTGATTTGGAGCTCAAGAAATATGTCTTCTTATTGTCAATGTTGAAAATGGTTTTTCTTGCTTAATATTTATGTGTAAACCATTATAAATTTTTTCAGAATACTATGATGAACAGAAAATTCAAAAGAACAGCATTTATCTATTATCTTTTGTTACATTATAAATGTTAACTTTTATAAAGAATATCTCTTTGGGTTTGAGACTTTAGTCTTTGCAACTTTAGGGATCTTATCTATGCACGAACAGCTTGTAACACTCCAAAGAGAAAGGACAATTTTAAATTGTATCATATGACCCCTTTAAGGTATTAGTTCCTTTCAAATACTGAAACTTGAAAGTGTATCTTAAAGGTCGCTCTTTAATATTTCAGTAATTCTCTTTTGGAAGCATTAAATGGAGAGCAAATTTGCTTACATTTTCTGCTTCTTAGAATTTTTGTCTGAGAAATACTTTTGAAGAGATCTCAAAGACATCACACTGTTTTCAGATTTGCCAACATACCAAAATCTGCAATCAAGTCAAAGAGTTCAACATGAACTAAAAAATTCTCATCAAATTATTGACAATAATTTTAGAATTTTATAAGATAATCATTTAACTAAAATGTCCTGATCACTATCTTCATCAGAATTTAATATAGGTGCATTTGCTCCATAGGAGCCCTTACCATCAGTCATTTGTCAGTGAGTGCTTCTGTACCATCTGTCCTAACGCAAGGTACTTTTTGAGTTGACAGCCTGCAAACAATAAATGAAATGTTGGGGCTTCTTTCTGGCTGACAGTACATAACGGTCTATATGGCTTACATTTCATGGCCAGTCGCTACCGATTGGTAACTAAAGAGCTGCTTGAGAAATGAGGCACTGAACAATGTACTTAGTGTACACAGAGGCACAGTGGCTCATTCTAGTGATGGAATGTAATATTATGAGAAGACAGAGAGGGAAGGGGTGAAAAAGAGCAGAAAGAAAGTGGGAGAGGGATGTATGTGTCCTCTTTGTTAACACTGGAATTCTCCTCAAGCTCAACTCAGAGAGGAAACATTTCCCTTTTGGTTTAATAAGAGATGAGAAATGGCTCTTTGAATATGTGTGTGAGTGTGTATGCGGGATCTTTCGCTCAGTGAAAAAAGAGACTGTCTGTGCTAAATGTTTGTGGGAACTTATCATGTTCTGTAGGTCTGTGTGGATGTGGTCTTTTTGGGGGTTTTCAAAGTTTTTAACGCCAACAACCTCCAGAGATGATGATCTCCTAAGGATGCTCTTCCTAAAATTTAAAGGCAGCTGTATATTTTCACTGTATACAAACCCATTTATAGAGTGTAAAATAGTAAGTTTAATGTAATTAAAGACAACTTGTCATTTTCAAAAATAAATAATTGGTTTTTAATTTAATGTATCACAATTATTATAATATCAAATTATTATATTTACTATATCTATTAGTACTATATAATATAATAAATAAGTACCATGGTTACCACAAAAATATTAAACAGCACTGTTTTCTACATTGATTATAAAAAAAAATGTTTCTTTAGCAGCAAATCAGCATATTGGAATGATTTCTGAATAGGCAGAGATGGTGAACATTGCCCTGCAGGTCCAGCGTGCTTTCCTCAAAATGGTCATGACACACCAGGAGCCAGCAAAGGTACACCCAAACCAATATGTCTGCCTATGATTTAATTTACATTTAAACTAGATGTATTGTAAACTTACGACATGTGACATTTCACAGTTTTGTGGTCATGAAGTAATCACTTGCATTGAAGCACCGTTAGCATATCCCACACTACAGAGTTTGTCATATTTTAAGCACCATAATAACAATGTTTAGTTTGACTGAAAGTGCCTGCTGGGAGAGTCTCTTCAGCAAATGACCCATATGACTCTGTCTGTGCAGTCTCAACAGATGTCTACCTGCAAATTTCTTCTGTATTGTGACATAAGTTCGAGTGAAGCGTAAGTCACATACAGAAGGAAAGTTTGGAGGGGGACTTGCTCCTATCCCATTGGTTGTTGATTAGATGGAGGCAAATTGGTTTAAGCCTAAAGAATGCTTCAGTTTTGACACAAATGCAGACTAAATGACTGAAGAAGTCCAGCATACGTCAGAGAAGTCTGTCATTTCACTGGACTGAGTTATGGCATTTTGATTAAGAAATATGAGGTCAAAAAAAAGTAAACAAAAAACAAACAAACCTGAATGGATAAATTGTCACAATGAGATCAATTTACTGAATGTTTTTATAAAATAGGATGATGAAAATAAGTCTTTTTCTCCCAAGTAGATATTTTCCAAACAGTTAGAATAATGACCTAAACTTCAGGTTTTTATCACACAAAGCTATTGTGTGCTTCAGAAGACTTGAAATAGAAATCTTGTTTTTTTTTTTTTTAAACAGTATATGAATTTGGAATGACAGGAGGATGAGTAAATAATGACAGAATTTTCATTTTGGGTGTACTGTCTCTTTAAATGAATAATTTACCCAAAAAGGAGCATTTGCTGAACATTTACTCATTCTCAGGCCATCCAAGATGTAGATTAATTTGTTTTTTTCATTGGAACAGTTTTGGAGAAATTTAGCATTTCATCACTTGGATCTTTTGCAGTGAATGGGTGCCGTCAGAGTTATCCCAAAACTTTGGACTTTCAATCATAATACCTGAAAATCCATCATACAAATAGTATTACATTTTAAATAACATGATTAATAACATGATTAATTTGAAAATAGAGTGAAATTAACAATTACATAAACAATCATATGTGAACAGAATATATTTACATTACATTTACATTATCATTCAACCATTTCTTCTTTCTTTCATTTAGGACACAAATGCTATGAAATTAGCTTTAGCAAGACAAAGGCATTTCATTGCAAGCTTGTAATGTCAGTTCCAACACAAAATGCTATGAAGTACAATACTATTCTAAATATATATAATGAATACATTTGTTGTTACTTGTTTTTATTAATTAATTTATTTTTTATACAACAGGCAGAGATGGTGAACATTGCCCTGCAGGTCCAGCGTGCTTTCCTCAAAATGGCCATGACACACCAGGAGCCAGCAAAGGTACACCCAAACCAATATGTCTGCCTATGATTTAATTTACATTTAAACTAGATGTATTGTAAACTTACGACATGTGACATTTCACAGTTTTGTGGTCATGAAGTAATCACTTGCATTGAAGCACCGTTAGCATATCCCACACTACAGAGTTTGTCATATTTTAAGCACCATAATAACAATGTTTAGTTTGACTGAAAGTGCCTGCTGGGAGAGTCTCTTCAGCAAATGACCCATATGACTCTGTCTGTGCAGTCTCAACAGATGTCTACCTGCAAATTTCTTCTGTATTGTGACATAAGTTCGAGTGAAGCGTAAGTCACATACAGAAGGAAAGTTTGGAGGGGGACTTGCTCCTATCCCATTGGTTGTTGATTAGATGGAGGCAAATCGGTTTAAGCCTAAAGAATGCTTCAGTTTTGACACAAATGCGGACTAAATGACTGAAGAAGTCCAGCATACGTCAGAGAAGTCTGTCATTTCACTGGACTGAGTTATGGCATTTTGATTAAGAAATATGAGGTCAAAAAAAAGTAAACAAAAAACAAACAAACCTGAATGGATAAATTGTCACAATGAGATCAATTTACTGAATGTTTTTATAAAATAGGATGATGAAAATAAGTCTTTTTCTCCCAAGTAGATATTTTCCAAACAGTTAGAATAATGACCTAAACTTCAGGTTTTTATCACACAAAGCTATTGTGTGCTTCAGAAGACTTGAAATAGAAATCTTGTTTTTTTTTTTTTTTAAACAGTATATGAATTTGGAATGACAGGAGGATGAGTAAATAATGACAGAATTTTCATTTTGGGTGTACTGTCTCTTTAAATGAATAATTTACCCAAAAAGGAGCATTTGCTGAACATTTACTCATTCTCAGGCCATCCAAGATGTAGATTAATTTGTTTTTTTCATTGGAACAGTTTTGGAGAAATTTAGCATTTCATCACTTGGATCTTTTGCAGTGAATGGGTGCCGTCAGAATGAGAGTCCAAACAGCTGATAAAAACAACCAATAATCCACAAGTAATCCATACGACTCCAGTCCATCAGAGAATAGACTGAAACAGAAGCGAAAAGCTGTGCATTTGAAAAAAAAAACTGGGAGAGTCTCTTCAGCAAATGACCCATATGACTCTGTCTGTGCAGTCTCAACAGATGTCTACCTGCAAATTTCTTCTGTATTGTGACATAAGTTCGAGTGAAGCGTAAGTCACATACAGAAGGAAAGTTTGGAGGGGGACTTGCTCTTATCCATTGGTTGTTGATTAGATGGAGGCAAATTGGTTTAAGCCTAAAGAATGCTTCAGTTTTGACACAAATGCAGACTAAATGACTGAAGAAGTCCAGCATACGTCAGAGAAGTCTGTCATTTCACTGGACTGAGTTATGGCATTTTGATTAAGAAATATGAGGTCAAAAAAAAGTAAACAAAAAACAAACAAACCTGAATGGATAAATTGTCACAATGAGATCAATTTACTGAATGTTTTTATAAAATAGGATGATGAAAATAAGTCTTTTTCTCCCAAGTAGATATTTTCCAAACAGTTAGAATAATGACCTAAACTTCAGGTTTTTATCACACAAAGCTATTGTGTGCTTCAGAAGACTTGAAATAGAAATCTTTTTTTTTTTTTTTTTAAACAGTATATGAATTTGGAATGACAGGAGGATGAGTAAATAATGACAGAATTTTCATTTTGGGTGTACTGTCTCTTTAAATGAATAATTTACCCAAAAAGGAGCATTTGCTGAACATTTACTCATTCTCAGGCCATCCAAGATGTAGATTAATTTGTTTTTTTCATTGGAACAGTTTTGGAGAAATTTAGCATTTCATCACTTGGATCTTTTGCAGTGAATGGGTGCCGTCAGAATGAGAGTCCAAACAGCTGATAAAAACAACCAATAATCCACAAGTAATCCATACGACTCCAGTCCATCAGAGAATAGACTGAAACAGAAGCGAAAAGCTGTGCATTTGAAAAAAAAAAAAAAAGAAAAAACATTAATTTAAGCGTTTTAACATTAAAATGTCACTTCTGGCTAAAATGCCAAATAAAGTCCATCATCCGCTTTCTCCAGTGGAAAAAGTCCGTCCCCTGTTATCCACTATCATCAATATCCATAACATTTTTGTTTAAAACTGTTATGGAGTGTTTTTGCTCATAAACAATGCTTGATCTGTGCATATTTTTTCTGATTCAGATGAGACCACTTTTGCTCTGAAGGAAGCAATATTATGGATAGAAGACTCTTATTTTAGCCAGAGGCAATAGTTTAAAGTTAAAATGTCTTGATGATTATGTTTATTACAAACCAGCAGCATTTCACTGCATGAGGTTATAGTGATGTTTTTATCAGCTGTTTAGACTCTCATTCTGACGGCACCCATTCACTGCAGAGGATCCACTGATGAGCAAGTGATGTAGTGCTGAATTTCGCCAAATCTGTTCAGATGAATAAACAAACTCATCTACATCTTGAATGGCCTGAGGGTGAATACATTTCTAGCAAATGTTCATTTCTGGGTGAACTATTCCTTTAAGGGTGATATAAATTCAGTGCTTTTCAACTTAAACGCTCTGTCCTGCTGTAATGCCGACCACTTACTCTCCTCCATACTATTCTGAGCGATGTGGTCAGCCATGCGACTATGGTTTCTGTTCACATAGGGATTACCTCTCCCGTTTAAAAAAATGCCAATGCGACACATTCCTGGTGCATTCACACAGTGGCCAGGGGGAAGTGCAGGGGGCCAGCGTGATGTCATGTCATCGGACTTTGGTTCACGTTGCCCAAACAGGAAGAAGATCTGAGGCCACAGGCTATTGGATGAAAGCAGGAAGGAGAATCAAACACTGGATAATAAACACACAAGTGGTAGGAAAAGTGCTGTAGCAGAACTGTTTGGAATATTTAGAGTGTTTTTCTGTTTTTTATTTCGATTTTAATGGTGATTCCTGTTTAATTTGAACACAGATTCAATATTTACTGAACTCAATGAGATGTACACAGCTGAGGGACAGATCTCTGATCTGTATGTGTCAGATTAATGGCCATTGGCAGAAAATCCCATGAGATAAGATGTTTGTCTTGCACCGTTTGCGCAACGGTATTTAAATGATACCTTAAATCATGCTTGTTGAGGACAGTTGTGCTATTCCTTTTCTAAGCAAACCTAATGCTCGTTAAATGAGGCAAAAAATCCCATAGACTTGCATTGGGGAATAACAACCTAGCATGAACAATCTCGCATTGTGGTGGTTGTGTCTAATAATTAATTAAAAACAGATAGCCACAACTGCAATGGTCAAATGCATTGGTGATGGGGAGGATCCATCTGCAAATGGATTCCCACAAATCTGAATGGAAAAACACTCAACCTGAATTAGATATGCTAAGAAAAGACTGGCTATCTATGTAGTACTCTACTGTACGCACAGTCACCCCAGCTCAGCTTCACAATAATTCTTAAATACGTTTTTTTTTTTTCTGTTCATGCATATATAAATATATCTTACAAGCATTCACTCACTCACACACACTATGTTTAGCCATTGTTCCTCTCCATCAGTAGTGTGAAGTGCGTATAGCTCCCAGGAGGGATGCTGGACAGTTGCCCTAAACCTCTGGCTTTTCTCTCTCTGTATATGTGTGTGTGGGACTGTGCTTGCATTCTGTGGCTTTTTATGGGCATGTTCTATATTTGAGCCGGTGTGTGTCTGTGGCCCTGGTCACATGACGGGCCTGTCGCTGGATGAGGAGTGTTTGTGTGGCCTGTAGACCGCAGCTGTTTCTCTCTAATTCCTCTTATAATAGAGTTGTTCACAGTCAAAATGCATCGCACCGTGACTGACCAAGATGTTCAGTCTTGGGATAATAGTGAGGTCTTTTCTGTCTGTTCAGAGGATATTTATCCATATCTTAATTTCTGGCAATTTTAAGTAAATTATAACTTCCATAGTTCATAAATATGTGTCCAATTATTTATCTAGAATTTTTTTTTTATTATTTCATTGAATTACAACTATTTAATTAATAAAATATATATTAAAATGCAAAAATTTAATATTTAATTTTATGTTATTTAGATACATTTTAGTTGATTTTTTTAAAATAATTTAACATTTATTGTGGATCTTTTCTGTCTGTTCAAGGGATATATATTCACATCTTAATTCCTGGTTATTTTGAGTAAAGTAAATTATACCTTCCAGACTTATACAGCTAATATATGTCCAATTATACAGTATATCTAGATTTTTTTATTTTAGAAAGCTCTTAGCTCTGGCTCCATTCATAGCTCAGAGATAGGCAGGCTATTTCTGTCCCTCTCCTCGGCTGAGCATGATGGAAAGGGAAGTTCAGAATGATGCTGGAAAGGTACTTGCACTTCGGACAGTGTCTTAACAAGGGTTGTAATGTCCAAGTATGGATGAAAGAGGCTCCTTTGTTTACAGAAATGAAAATCATGCGCATGTTGTTATGGGAGGAATTTATGTAAATACGCTTTTGCTCGTTCTCTTTTGCTCCCCCTCGCTCTTTATCACTTTATGTCACACTTTCACAAACACAAACTCAATCCACAACCCTCCACATTTCAACCTTGTTGACACCAAAAACAATTGATGAGTCACATTCAGCCACAAAATGTGTAATGAATAAACACGCATTGTACCAACATATACTGTCTAAATACACACCGTCTGTCTTGTTTGTTTATCTCTCACTTATTTGATGAGGTTGAAGTCAGGTCAATTCTGTGATTTCTTCTGATTTGCACATGAAGGTCAGTCTGAGCTGATGAGCCTGACTGAAAACAAGAAGTGGTATTTTTAGTCCAGAGAAGTCAGTCGTCCTCATTCTCCCACCAAATTCTTATGAAATGGACTGAAATGGTGGACATGGCAACTGCTTGAACACAAGCATAAATACAAAAACGTTCATTTAACAAAGGAAACAGTGAGCTCCCTCTCCCCCTTGTTCAGAGGTAAACTATAAACATCAGTACAGGACAGGACCTTACAAGGCGAGGGGGATCTCCCCATCACGGGCTGGAATGCGGAGTGAGAGGGAGGTGAAGCTCGCTGGACGTTTCATTGGAAAAAATGGTCCCAGTATTAAAAGTCCGCTTGGGTGCCTCAGACTCTGTGCTTTTCTCTGTGCTTGCTTAAAAGGTCCAATGAAATCAAAATTGGAGTTGCTGTGGAGTAGCCTTTTCTCCATGTTTTTTTGTTTTAAAGTACACTGTATGCTAACAGTCTTTAATATTGACACAGTTGACTTTTAACAGATGTACACATTTAAAATCTACAGTCTTCAGGTACAGTCGCATTTTAGTTTTAGTCAACAATAACAAAACTGGATATGTGCTGCCCAAACTTCGTATTTCAATAGGAAATATGTCAAAACAAAAAAAAAGAGAAATCTTTTCAGTCTTTAATAGAAGAGAGTGAATACTCTACAGTGGTATTCAGCATAAAACTTATTTTGTTCATGTTTGAAAGATATGTTAATTGAATTATTAGACTAAGTTGATTGAATTATAAAAGTAAGGGATAGATATTTTATGAATGGAAGTTTCAAATGAAATGACTAAAATGCCAAATTACCGTATTTAAGTAGTTTATTAGTAGAGCCTGCAAGACAATTATCACTATTAGTATTGCTCATACATCTTCAAAAATCCTAACCATAAGTACCTTTTTTTTAATGAATTTGGTCTGTTTTATGCATAACTCCGACTGTTCGATGAGATTTGCTGTTTGATGTTCCACAAAGGAATCTTAACTTTTAATTGATGGCTTTCCCGCTGTTATTCCCAATCAGACAGAGATGGCTGACCTCCTCAGACCCCTCTCCGACCAGATCCAGGAGGTCCAGTATTTCCGGGAGAAGAACCGTGGCAGCAGCCTGTTCAACCACCTGTCTGCCGTGAGCGAAAGCATCCCCGCTCTGGGCTGGGTGGCCGTGGTGAGCACTTCTCTCTGTCTCACACTTCCCATGGACAGTGTGGTGCATTCTAGTCAGTCACTAACTTCCTGTATACAAACATAATTCTGTTATAACCGATCCAGAAAATACCTGGTTTGGCTCATGCATCTTTTGCATTCGAGTGGCTTAATGTTAAGGTTGCACATTCAGATTCAGTCATGTCTTGATGCTAGTGATGAAAGCCCACCAAATACACTTCAAACAATATCAAATCCATCCATTGGGCATATTTTCTTTGATTGTGACAACAGGCCGACCTCACACAAACCATCTGAGTCATTGGTGAGAGGACCATCAAATTGATGTTTGAATTTATATTTGTTTTCTATTATGTAAACTCCTCTGATGTCTTTACTGTGGCTGGCTGTATCTAATCTCTGCAATGTGAATTTGGACTAAGACAGATCTGGACTCTATCATTTTTTGCTTTAAACTACCGCTGCTGTTTACATCAAAGGTTCAGAGCCTCAGTATTAGTGCTTTACTGGAAATGGATCCTTTTTTCTGTGCTTATTATTTATATTAATAAGTAAGCTTCTTTGACATTCTTTTGACCCTTTGTTTTCTTGCTCTGTCATACAGTGTCAGAAACCAGGGCCGTATGTGAAGGAGATGAACGATGCTGCAATGTTCTACACAAACAGAGTCCTGAAAGATTACAAAGACACGTTAGTGCATTGTTTTTTATTTATTTAGTTCATATCAGGTCAGTTTGATATGTTAATGTGAAATGTCCCTTACAAGGTATTGTGATAATGATTACCATAGCCATGTATAATGGTATTTATATTTGCTACACCAAGGATCTTCAAATGATACCATGATTCTACTGTACTTTGGTACATTTTGTTAAACACATAGTCAATTTCCCTCGCAATTATGTAGTACATGAACATTTATTTGTTCACTTGAACAAACACTTGAACTTTTTTTTGTGTCTCCACTGACCCCAGAGACCCCCGTCATGTTGAGTGGGTGCGTTCCTATCTGAACATCTGGACTGAACTTCAGACCTACATTAAGGAGCACCACACCACTGGACTCGCCTGGAGCAAAACTGTGAGTGAGACTTTTAATTGGAAAATGACTTCAGGCCAACCTCAACTTGTTTGTATTCAGGAAGTATGATGTGAATATTCTTTGCCAGACATAGAATTAGTACAGTTGTTGGTAATCAAAACTCTACATTAAAGGTGGGGTAAGCGATTTCTGGTAGCCAATGTTGACATTTGAAATCACCAAAACAAACACGCCCCTACCCCAAAGGATCTCGCCCCTATTTTGATAGCTCCGCCCCAAACATGCGTACGCAACCCAGGCAACGATTAGTTCTGTGAAACAAAGCAAAACCAAAGTTACACCGTGTCTACACCGGACGCGAGTGGCGTGGCGCGACAAAATACTAGGGAACTCATTATAATCAGTGATGCTGTCTACACCATAGATATATATATAGATATACATATCTATGGTCTACACTGGATGCTGCACGGCACGACACGACAAATCCCCGACAGAAAACTGCCGCTGCGTTGTATTCATGACATACTGACACAAATTTCAAATGATTTTCAACGGTCGCTTTGTCGCGTCCAGTGTACTAGACAGACTTTAGCTGTTGCAGAGCAGACACGGTGTTACTCGCCTATCGAGAAGAAATAAAGCAACCTCGGCATCCAATCGCAGGCCTTCCGCTCCTTGAGTTCTCTCCAGCGCTGGAAAGCTGATCTGATATTTACACGGGTCCTACTTCTTGCCTTATTGCCTTAAGATTTCTTTTGTTCCGCAGATGTTTTCCTCTTTTGTTTTTTATCCGCCATCTCTATCTTTCTGTCGCTCGGCTCGGCTAATGTCCGTCCTGTGCACTGAACGCTCTCTCCTCCACATCATGAGTAGACACGCCCCTTACTGCTGATTGGCTACAAGTTTGTTTTGCTAGTCGGCCCGAACCAGTTTTCTAAAGCGTTTTTGAAAAATCGCTTACCCCACCTTTAAGAAGGACATTTGTCATTTTCTCAAAGACTTAAACATTTTCAATGCTCGATATTGTGTTTCCGTTTCAAATTAGGAAAAAATCGAAACTGCTGTACAGAAGAGCATATTTTCCATTTTTGGTCATACAGAGGCTGGTTGAATGCAGATTAATTTCAGATGATTAACAGCTATACTGTGTACATCTATCTAGATAAATAGTATAGTTATATTCATGCATGGCTGCCTTTGAAATTCATTTTCTTCCAGTTAGGGATGCACAGTATATTGGTACCATACTGCTTATTACCTTACCGGAGTTTGATCATTTTTAATTTATCAGTATATCAGTCGATATCGCATATTTAATTGTTTATGATAATTTCCCCTATAATTTTACATTTAGATAACCGTTTCTTTCATCTAACACTCACTTAAAGTTAATCTTTATTATTATTATTATTATTAAAATTTATTTGAAAAGGGACCATGTACAATTATAACATAAATGTTTCCATTTCACGCATTGTACCGAATTTAGCTGAAGGGTAGTTTTCATCCGCAGTCCCTTGGCAGGTAATCATAATCATAGATGGACATAAAAACATAAGACAACTAGCACATACAATACATTAATACTTATACACATCCTATCAGAGCCACAAAAAACAGTAAAAATAACGCCCAGTTAAAGCACGACCATGTCAGCATTTACGGAGTTTAAAAACACTAATAATTTAATAACACTGTTAAATGTAATCTTTAGCAAATTTCAAAATGAATATTCATTATTTTATAGTGTACATTATAGTGTACATTATAATGTTGTGATTAACTAATTTGAGTTTAATCTATGAATAGAGTTTATTCTATGAATTTAATCTATGCACACTATTGTTCAAAAGTTTAGAAATAAATTAAGACTTTTGTTCAGCTAGGATGTATTCAATTGATCAATAGTGTTACAAAAGATGTTTCAAATAAATGCTGTTCTTATTAACTTTATATTCATCGAAGAAGAATCATTAAAAAAATGTATCATGGCTTCCACAAAAATATCAAGCAGCTCAGCTGTTTTCTACATTGCCATCACAGGAATAAATTACTTTTTAAAATATATTAAAATAGAAAACAGTTCTTTTAACTTGTAATCATATTTCACAATATTACTGCTTTTACTGTAGTTTTGATGCCTTGTTGAGCATAAGAGACTTCTTTTAGACAGTCTTTTAAAAAAACATTTAATTAAACATTAAAAAAATCTTACCAACCCCAAACCTTTTTGGTTTTTGAAAGTTTTTTTTATTTTTTTTTATTTTCATACAACAGCTTCATACCACTATTATGCCTTTGAAAGAATACACAGTTGTCCCCTTAAGTAGTTCTGGGAGTTTTTGGGATGTTAAATCTTGTCTGTCACGGGGTGAAATAGTGTGTGTCAAACAGAAACCTGAGAGCCCTCACTGACTGTGTGTCAGCTGTCCCTCCTGCCATGAGGGCTCTGAGTATGTGTGGAGGACTGTATGGTGTGGACAGGTGGTCATCTGGGTCTTTTTGCATGGGGGGTTTACCATAGAAATGCCCCCAACAAAAGCCTAGTGTGTCTCTGGCTTACACACCTGCTCTCACACACACTCCTCGTAATTCAACCTCGCTTCTCATGTATTCCACATTATACCTCTCCCTTTGACTTCATTTACTTCTGTATATCCTCACGCATCAGACACAATCAAACTCCCGCATCACTATGTATTTGTCTGCCATGTTTTCCAACTTCCTCTAACAGTTTGTTTAAGTACCTTTGCCTTTTCACCTCTTCACAAGGCATTGACCTTTAGGGTCAGAGGTCGGGTTGCCCAACTGTTTAACCTATGCTGAACATCAGCACAATTATTGGGATTAGAAGTGTGTGTGTTTGTACAAGACAGGAAAAGATGAGTGTGCAACAGTTGTTTAAGCCAGTTTAAGTGTTGAAGTGGGAACCGTGTGCAACTGTCAATGGCAGCTGTGCTGACAATATAAAACAGGCATAAGTGTGCTGTCAGGGTCACACAATAGCCAACTGTGCCACACTGATCTGTTCTTTTACTTTAAATGTTGTTAAATAAGATTATCCCAGTTGTGTCAGAAAAACATGGACTGTCGAAATTATTTCGAAAATCAGGATCTGATTATTAGAGAAAATCATCATGGAAACACACATTGAGTATTGTTTTCTTAGCACAGACCATGTAGCAAGGCTTGTTTCCAAAAAGACATTTCACTGCATATCTTGACATTTTTATTGTAGAATTCTGTAGAAGTTTTACAATTTTATAATATGTGTGGATAGAGTTGAACACACATACTCATCTATCTATCTATCTATCTATCTATCTGTCTTTAACCTATGCTGAACATCAGCACAATTATTGGGATTAGAAGTGTGTGTGTTTGTACAAGACAGGAAAAGATGAGTGTGCAACAGTTGTTTAAGCCAGTTTAAGTGTTGAAGTGGGAACCGTGTGCAACTGTCAATGGCAGCTGTGCTGACAATATAAAACAGGCATAAGTGTGCCGTCAGGGTCACACAATAGCCAACTGTGCCACACTGATCTGTTCTTTTACTTTAAATGTTGTTAAATAAGATTATCCCAGTTGTGTCAGAAAAACATGGACTGTCGAAATTATTTCGAAAATCAGGATCTGATTATTAGAGAAAATCATCATGGAAACACACATTGAGTATTGTTTTCTTAGCACAGACCATGTAGCAAGGCTTGTTTCCAAAAAGACATTTCACTGCATATCTTGACATTTTTATTGTAGAATTCTGTAGAAGTTTTACAATTTTATAATATGTGTGGATAGAGTTGAACACACATACTCATCTATCTATCTATCTATCTATCTATCTATCTGTCTATCTATCTATCTATCTATCTATCTATCTATCTATCTGCGATAAACATTTAACAAAAATTTTTTGGGATTTTATGGAGGTCACCTTTTTGGAACTTCATACCCTCCATTCAGGTCAGCAGCAACACTACAGACTTACTGTAATCCATTGCCTCATACGCCACCTACTGGAGTAGGACGCCCATTGCAGTGAATTCATCAACATGGGGGTGAAAATACATTTAAATTTAGTAACCATTTTACAATAAAAAAAGTGTTATTTGAGGCTGTGAATTTACAGCTATACTGTGAATTCTGTGACATGAATATTGTGTTTTTAGTTTTGTTTTTAATGTTTTTCCCATTCTGGAATGAGCATATAAGTTTCCAGCTTCTCCTGGACTAACTCTGATGTACTCCACAGGGTCCTGTAGCCCCTCCCTCGCTGTTCGGTGCTCCTTCTGATGGTACTTGCCCTCGTCCTCCCCCTCCTCCTCCTCCTCCACCACCAGGTCCTCCTCCAGTGTTCATGGATAACAGCCCTAAATCCGACGACACAGCAGCCCAGCACTCAGCTCTGTTTGCACAGCTCAACCAGGGAGAGGCCATCACTAAAGGTGGGCAGGAGAACACCGCCAGACTACAAGATACTATACTGCCATCAAAACTGACATCAGGTGATGTGTTCTGCCTCCAGGTTTAAAGCATGTGTCTGACAAGCAGAAGACCCATAAGAACCCTAACTTGCGCTCTCAGGGAGGGAGGACACACCAGGGATCTCCAGCCAAATGTCAGAACCCCAGCTCGTCTGCCTGTGCACCTGCCAAGAAACATTCCCCCGTGCTGGAGCTGGAAGGAAAGAAGTGGAGGGTGGTAGGTGCCCATCAACCTACATGTGTCTGACTGTGTTCAGCGTTACACCATTCTACACGTAATGGCTCTGCTACAGTTGCCCAAATACTTAAATACTTTTGCAAAAAATAATCTATCCCACAATGCAATGATCTTGATATTTTCAAGTCATTATCATTAACCAAGCCATTTAGTCATTATCCAAAGCCATTTAGTTAATATCTTGGAAATAAAAATGCATATGAACAATTTACGAATACATTTAAAATGCTATAATGGTATATATATATTTTTTCAAATTTATTTGTGAATTGACTTAAAATGTTGGTTTGCATTGCATAATGACTAAAAGCTGCACATATGACGCATTAAGCAGTACAACTAGTGAACTAAAGGAAGTAATACAAAGTACAAATAGTGCTGCTAACTATATAAACATTCTCAGTTGTATAGGAATTATCTCCCAAAAAGTGGGTTGGATGAATGTAGTAATGTATTAATATAACACTCGCCATATACTTGTAAACTAGGAGACTGAACCCTGCACTTGTAGTGACATTCTATTGATTTACCATGACTACAGCATGTGTTTAGTGGATCTATTGTGTGTATTTGGCCTGTAGGAGCATCAGGAGCAGTCTCATGACCTGGTGATAGAGGAGACCGAGCTCAGACAGGTGGTTTATGTCTTTAGCTGTAGCAACTCCACACTCCAGATCAAAGGCAAAGTCAACTCCATCATAGTGGGTAAGAGGAGCTCCTCATAACACCAGCTGCTCTTATTCAGTAACGTTATCTTCTCCTTTATCGTTGCACCGCACACCATGCCTGGCCAATGTCTGTCTCTCTCCTCACAGATAATTGTAAGAAGCTCGGACTCGTGTTTGACAATGTGGTTGGCATCGTTGAGATCATCAACTCCAGAGACATTCAACTTCAGGTTAGACGTAAATGTTTGTGCATAACAAGTTGCAGGCTGAAGTGTTTTGTTCTGTGGGTGATCTGCACTCAGGGTTGTTATTGTAAAAGAGAACGTGTTAGCATAATGTATGTGCATGAATTATGGTCATAACTGCCAGAATCAATAAAGAATATGAATGTTGAATAGCGTTGTGGTATGCATCTGTTGATACTGAAGAGACGTTAACATACACAAATTACAGAGTCATGCTTCAAGCTTCAATTTTGTAGCTGCTATGTGCTGTTATAGCAAGAATTACTAAGACGTTGCTACATAATATTGTCGAATTCGTCAACCACATACAGAACCATTCTAAAGCAAGATTTTTTTTTTAAAGAAATTAACTTTTTTAAAAAAAAAAAAATTCCCTTTTTTTTTTTTTTTTTATCAGCAAGGATGCATTAAATTGATCATTAGTGACAGTAAAACATTTGTTACAAAAATGTTCTGTTTCAAATTAATGCTGTTCTTTTCAACTTTATATTCATCAAAGTATCCTGAAAACACTAAGCAGCACAGCTGTTTTTATTAAAAAAATGTTGAGCATAAGAGACTTTTGTAGCCCGTTTTCACAAAGTAGGAACTCATGGCTCAAAAATGCAAATTCTTTTAAGCTAATTGTAGTTTTTGGACTTTGGACTATATTTTGTTGCCTGTGAACAACACACAACTTGTTTTTGGCCTTTCAGGTAATGGGAAAAGTTCCTATTATTTCCATTAACAAGACTGAGGGGTGCCATGTCTACTTGAGCAAGGATTCACTTGACTGTGAGATTGTCAGTGCCAAGAGCTCTGAGATGAACGTCCTTGTTCCTGAGGGAGAAGATGATTATGTGAGTTTATTTACACTGAAAATATCTACCAACAGAGCTACCATAACCTTTCATTTCAACAAATAACTTTCTTGATACATTATGTCATGGTACCAAAATAACAAGTGTTCCATTCCAGAGGTTTGACCTGCTTTATATTCAAATGTGAGGGAAAATCTGTCATCAGCCTTAAATTTTGAGACATTGTTTATACATTATTTGACTAATATATTCTTGTATTTTCAACAGAGGGAGTTTCCAATCCCAGAGCAGTTTAAAACGGTTTGGGACGGCTCCAGCCTGGTGACAGAGCCCACAAAGATCGCTGGTTGATTCCTTTTCCAGCTCGTCATCTCTTTCCTCCTACCCAGAATTCTTCATGCACTTTCATTGTACCACACTGTTAGCGGAGACGGAATAATGAATACATTGTGGTTGTGAGAGTTGTAGTTTAAGGCTCGTAAAATTCTAATTAAGTGCAAAATATGGACAAACAAGTGTTATTTCACCACACAAGTTATGAAACCTTTGAACAAATCTCTGTTGGATATTTTCCCCCTTAATTTTAGCAGCAATAAAATACATAATTATACATTTAAAAAAATACACAGGATGACACCATTATGTGTGAATATGGGAATTAAGTTAAAGTAATAAATCAACAATTACATTTTGATAATTTTTTCCCATAACAATATTTATTTATTTTAATTTTTTTGTCTATGTCTTTTTGACATTATAAAATACTTTGTGTTGATGTCCTAAATTCTCATGTTAAATACATTTTGGTTCTGTGTAGTAACATAATAAAAAAGATAGAATATTTTGAATATATTATGACTATATTTAGCTATAACTTGTTTTTATAGGGAAACCAGCCCTTTGTGTTTTGTGCAGTAACATTTGACATTTACTACAGATTTACTTTCAGATCATAATATTTTCTTCTGCAAAAAAACATGTTTATTTGGCAAGGTAAACTTGTATCTTCAGGCTTTGGACGCAGAATATGTGCAATCATGAGCAGAGGAGAAAAATCAATGGACATTTTACAATCAAACCGCTTTTTATTCTAGGAGTGTGACAACTGGTCTTTGTTCTGCAACTGAATGAGTGCCTTTGGGGGTATTTTTTAATAAGATTTTATATTATTTTAATATAGTTCAAATATTGCTTTATATTTCATTTATAATCTCAAGACCGCTCATTTCTGAAACTTTGCATTGACGGCCACCACATGTCATTCAACACCATCAGGGTAGTAATGACATGTGCTGTGTTATAACATGAAGTAAATACAGCTAATAAATATCCAACTTCATGTCCAAAATGGTTTCCTAGATGTTCTCACTTTGCACTCACACCTTTACATCTGCTTGTAAATTTCAATGCTTTAAATGTTTCTTCAACAGGAAGGTCTTGAACACTTCAGCTCATTTTGAATGTATGCCAACATGCGTTAATATGTAGCATTCTTCAGTCCTTAAAAGGGAATTGTGTTACATTTGCTTGGTCAGTAAACAGTCTACATTTAACTAACAATGTAATGCACACTTAAGCATGATGCTTAAACACAGTAGAACATGTACAATGTATTAAATCACACGCCTTAAATTGTACTTTACCAAAGTATTTTCATGTTACCAGATCAATTTAATCAAATAAAGTCATTGTGAACTCATTACACTGTTATTTGTATTGTATTGGCTTTTTTTACCATCTTCTGATTAAGCTTTATAAGGTTTAGTTGTTCTAGAGCAAGGGTTTTCAAACAGAAAAAATATTTTTTTTTACAAAATGTAGTATAAATGTTAAACTTTGCTTTGTACAAGGATAATATAAAAGATTTAATTCACTTTAAAAATGGTTATTTAATTTTGTCGTTATTTAATATTTTTCTCACACAGTATAAATGGGTTTTTATACGTGAAATGTGCCTTTTTATTTTAGGAAGGGAGTCCCTTGCAAGGGGATCATCATATTTGAGAGTCCTTACCATTAATTATAAATGCGTGAAAAATGATTGAATTTGTCAGCACATGGCTCTTTAATGAAACTCATAGATTCTGTCCCTGACAGCAAATTTAAACAGAGCAGCAATGGGGAAACATCAACTTGGCAAACGAGAACAGAATGTGAAATATTCACCTTGCTCCATGCTGGTAATTTAAAGCAATACAAAACATAAATTCATTTAAAATGACAGAGCTTAAACTCAAATGAACAACTTGTATAAATGTTTAACGTGACACAGGCACACCATGTCCTACTTTAAAATATACACCGATTCTAAAAGCACAGCTTAAGTAGTTCACCAAACTGAGAGAGTAAAAGGTGCCATCTGCTGGCAAACAGGAAATCTTTATAAAATATTACACAACAAACATTATTTTGGGGGGTTTATTTGTTTTTGTACAATTTTTTATTTAAATACTTTTGTTTCTATAATGTATCACATATAAAAATCTACATTTAAAAAATTCAAGTGCTTGAAAAATAAAATCAATACAAAACACTTAAAATGATTTCACCACAGATCGGTTTCTGGCTAATGCTTAATGACCATGTTTCCCTCTGAGTCTTGGGTGAAAAGCATCTCAGGCTCTAGATCTGATTCCTCCTCCTCTTTTTCTAAAGAAGTGGCAGATGGACTATTCCTGTAATCTTTGCCCACAGATAAATTGCTCTGGTCTTTTAGTGGGCTTCTTAAGTGCTGGGCACGATGAGCAATCACACAGAAGCCCTCTGAGTCCTGAGTGAACAACACAGCAAGAGTTTCTCCAGCCATCTCTGTGTTTGCAAGTTCCTTACCTGATTTTTTAGGGGAAAAAGTGTATTTCTCCTTTAACCTGCACTTAGCTGGACTAGAAATTAGATGGTGTTTAAAAGGGGATGTTGGAGCATTTTGAATAGGTGATGTGGGCCAGCTATTCTCTTTTCCCATCCGTTTCATGGGCGATGCCTTATTTTTGCACCAAGAATGCTCCTGATTTTTATTAGTAATCACAGAAGCATTCGATCTTTTGTGGTTTTCACTGACAGGCCTAGAGGTTCAGATAGACCCCTTAAATGAGGCCTTCTGATCTCTTAAATCATGTTTGTCCGTGTGTTTAGGACGTGGAGACTTACGGAAATTCTTATGTGCATCTTCAGAGGGCTTCCAGACCATCAGATCACAGTGCTGCAGGGACTCCTCATTAAAGAAAGTCTCAGTTTCAGGAATTGTCTGATTTGGATATGCATTCGATGCTTCTTTATTCCAATATTATTGTGTCTCTAACACATTTTCTGTATAATGGGCAACATGTCTCCTTTTTTCAGGTGGTTCTTCCTCTGGCTCATCTCCACATATTAAATGGAGGAAACGCCGTTCTTTTATGTCCTTGACTGACAGTCCTTCAAAATCTCCATCACAGTTCTGCTGGTACACCTCAGATGTTTGACTGGTTGACTCTGTAGATGGCTCCAAAGACACATGTTTCCGTTTGGCCCCGGTGCGTGCTCTGTGTGCATGAAGCTGGACATCCCAGAATGAGCCACACTAGGGTTAGGGTCTGGCCAAACAAATACCAGTCAAGAAAGGACAATTTTTTATAAGCTTTAAGTTTATCATCAAATTAAAGGTGTGTGTGTGTGTGTGTATGTATATATATATATACATACATACACATACATACTATTTAGGCATATTTAAGAACACTAATATAAAAATAACTGATAAAAATTACAAAAACACAGAATAAAATGACTAAAATGTTAACAAAAAATTAAAATGAAAAATATAAAAATAAAAACTCATTCATACTATTAATTACCATTAATAAACGCATACTATTAATAAAAACTATAATGGTACCTCAAATTATATATATATATATATATACAGTAAACACATACATAGTTATATACATTAAGTAATATTTATTCAGTTACATAGTTAGATATATACAGTATATATATATATATATATATATAAAGTAATATTAAAGGTATCACATAATCTGATACAGTTACAGTATGAAACAGCTCTGGAATTTTTTACCTCTGGACTTGGGTGAAAATAAATTTGATATTGTGCTTTGTCTAGTGATAGGCATGTTGAGTTTGGTCTGAGTGAAGCTCAGTGCCACTGCCACACTGTATTCCCCTGATCTCGCAAGTGGGTTCAGTAATTTGGATATTGGACGGGTCAGTTGTTTCTGAAAAAACCTGTAGTGTTAATTTTTTCTTACGAAGACAAAATAAAAAAACATTTTCAATACACTTAAAAAAAAGTTAGATTTAGTATAATATATTTAATTAGAATTCAGTTGTTTTTACCTGCTGTTTCTTTTCTTTTAACTCTTTTGTGTCGAGCCATATTCCGCACTCTTCTTCTTTAGATGATACTGCAGGTTTCACTTTAGTGTTCTTAGCGGATTTCATTCTGTTTACAAATCTCACACACGCTCAAATAACCAGGCTAGGTTTATACGCTTGACAAACAATTCCCTGAAACGCTCACAGTCTCATAACAAACAAAGCTACAACGCCAGATTGTCGTTACTTAGATACAACTTCTCGAGCTTCTCTGTTCACTGTAGCTGTCTGGTCATTCCCGCGCGCGTATTCAAAGACAATCTCGGGTTGCCAAGTATTCTTGTGAATGACCGACATATCAGTTCTGTTCGATTAATTGCACTGGTTATAATAAGGAAGGTGGTTGCCTTACGATGATGTATAATGTACTGTTTAATACAGTTATTATACTGTAATGTAGTTATATATTACATAACTGGGTGAATAAAGTGCGATATTGTCTAGTGTAGAAATATTAAATGGACTTGGCAACCCTCACCACGAAACGCGTGCATAAATGTTACCGTTTTCTTCGAATGTGAAATTGAATAAATAATGATTCTTATTACTTTAGTTCAGATTAAATAGTATATTCTTTGCATAAACAATTTTTGTAATGAAGAATAAGTTGGGACAGTGGCGAAAACAGGATGTTACAATTAATGGAAGAATGTACAATTGGATCAATATAAGGGTGAGTGAAATGACATTTTCCTGGTGCGTTTTAGCTAAAAACGCTGTTAGTATTTGAATAATATGTCATCTCATAACCACATTAACGTTATAGACATATATAAGGTGTGAATTAATGAGACATCAACGTTTCTTGTACCCTTACAGCGGAATGAAAGCAATATCTTAGCTAGCTAGCTAGCTGAGCTGACGTCGCAGTGTATTTGTCAGGAAATAAACAAAACAAAATTAGCTGTTGTATTATATGCTTCAGTTAGGATTCACTATACATTGTGTCAGTTAGTTCGTCTAAAATCTAATGAGTAACCTTAACATAATGAGATCAGATCAGTCAGTTTTGATATGCAGCCACTGTGTATATCATGCGCTGACCCGTGGCTGATGATTGATAATAATCTGATTGTCGCTGTAATTATCTTGTAGTTCATCATGTTTCATGGAATACCTGCCTCTGGAGTGATGGGAGGAAGTGAGTGAGAGAACCTGCTTTATCAAGAGCCTCTAAAAATATCAAAGCATCTCATTCTTATTTTACTCTTGCTTATATTTTTACTAGTCTCATATCAGATTTTATATCTGTTTTGCCTTTCTGCTTTAACTTAACCAGCACCTGCCAACAAGCCAGAACTGTATGAGGTAATAATGTTATATTGTTACATATAATTTGCAATTCTGGTCTTATCTGTCATCATCATCTTTAAATTATGTGCTTTGTCTGTTATAGGAAGTGAAATTGTACAAAAATGCCAGAGAAAGAGAAAAGTAAGTTAACCATATTGTTCAGCCATGGCTATTTTGTTTTCCTTATTTATTTGTCTTATTGACTGATGTCACGAAAAAGATGATGCAGAATGGTGATTGTGACTGGGCTGCATGTAATGTCCTTTTCTTTTGTTTTGAAAGGTATGACAACATGGCAGAGTTGTTTGCTGTGGTCAAAACACTCCAGGCACTGGAAAAAGCCTACATTAAAGACTGTGTGACTCCAAACGAGTTAGTTACTTTATTTGTTTGCGCAAAATATTGTGAATTAAGGTGTAGTCACATTTGCAATTTTTTTGTGAGTGAAATCCAGAAATTTTAATAGGAATCCACATGATTCGAAATTTCACATGAGTGCAAAATATTTCTGCGCACAGATTTCCCAACATTGGTCACGCTAATTTACTGCATTGATCAGCAGGAAGCTGCTTTGTTTGAAAATGACTTCTGTGTGAACTATGCTTCATACATCACTGTTCTATTCACAATAGACAATGGACCTTTTTTGCCCATAAAATGTTGCCAATGTGACCACACCTTTATTTATGTCTATTCATATATAATAAATATTTGCTTTGTTTTTGCAGATACACAGGAGCTTGCTCAAGATTGCTTGTCCAGTACAAGGCTGCTTTCAAACAAGTCCAGGGGTCAGATGTGAGCTCCATTGATGACTTTTGTCGGAAATACAGGGTATAGCTTATTTTGCTTATAAGTAACTCTAAATTATTCTATTTTAATTTTTTTGTACCTTTAAGTAATTTATTAGTCCAGCACATTGGACACGTGCGTGTATACATGTATATTTATATATGCGTGTATGTTTTTACATGTGGTTCAGTATGCTTTAGTTTCTTAATATTTTTTCCACTGTTTGTTTCTGACAGCTGGACTGTCCACTAGCTATGGAGAGGATCAAAGAGGATCGACCAATCACCATTAAGGATGACAAGGGCAACCTGAATCGCTGCATTGCAGACATAGTTTCTGTATGTATCTTGAACTCTTCATATAGTGATTTTATGTAGCCTAGAATGAATAGCTTCTTGAGTTAATGCCAGAACGCCCCAGTGTTTATCGATTGAGCACAGAGGATACCTTCTTATTCCAACAGTTCCATTAAGTAGATTTATTTAATCAGACTAGAAGAAATAATGCTATATGCAATTTTTCACAGGGCTCCACAGTAGAGTATGTGGTGCATTGAGCCCCTGCTAAAATAAACACTTAGCAATCATAAGAACTGGCTAAATCTGCTCCTATAACCTTTTTAATCTTTATTTTCTCTCATGCAGCTCTTTATCACAGTGATGGACAAGCTTCGACTTGAGATTCGTGCCATGGATGAGGTACTCATTTCATAGACTTATTTCATCAGCTTAATTAGATTAACGTAATGTTATTTAGAGACAGTTTAAGTCTTCTTGAGTTTAAGATTTGAATTACTAATTAACTGAGAAAATTGTTTTATAGATCCAGCCTGACCTGAGAGAGCTCATGGAGACCATGAATAGAATGAGCAACATGCCTCCAGATTCAGAGGCCAAAGACAAAGTCAGCCTCTGGTAAGCCTAGTTTCACTGCAGAAATACACTACAATTCAAAACTTTGCTGTCTGAAGAAGTTGTAAATGCTTTTATTTAGCAAGGATGGATTGAATTAATCAAAAGTCACAGTAAAGACATTTATAATGTTAGAAAGCATTACTATTTCCAACCCTCTACATTGCGAGTAAATCACTCGCATATGCGACTAATCTTCACTCTGGGCGACTAAATGATGTCTAATATTAGCCACTGGCTAATAAATTCTCAGATTTTACTCGCCAGTGTGTGAGTTGGACGCTAAGTATAAGTTTAGCACAGATATATTTTCACTCGCCGAACACACTGACTGAGCGCTTCAGAGTTTCACTCTCCGTCAAGCGATCTGTGATATTTCTCAGTTCATCTGAATGGATGTGCAACGCACATGTGTTTGACATACCGTGAACTCTAGTGTGAAGGCGCACACCTTGTCTCACACACACGCAGAGAGAGAGAGAGCGCGAGAGAGTCTACATGCAGAATTGACGCGCTACATGTAAACGATATTCTTTGTTGTATTTTCCGGTCAAAATAACGCCGTTCCTTTGGAATTCTTCAGCTTATAAGAACTGCCGGGTTCTCCGGTAGTGGGCGGAACTAATGCACAAGCGACAACCTCATTGGCTGACGCTCACCTATTATCATCCCTGTTTTGATTTTAGCAAATCGGTTTGAGCGAACGCACACAACCTGATTAATATTCATGAATCCAGCAGCTCATTAATCCTTGCAGAACCGTGCATGTTATATTGTTCTTATTAGTAGAATTCTAGGTATTATTATTATTATTATCTTATCAGTATTATTGTTAGTTTTTCCACATTTTTTTTACAGAAACACTGAATAACCAAAAAAGCAGCACCACCAGTCCTAAGTTCAGTTAAAATGACTAATATGCATTCATACATGGTTTTAATTCTAATTACTAAAGTTCTATCATTAAATAATACTTGATTATCATATAATGCTTGACTGACTGATGTTAAGAATGTAGTACTTTCAGATTTTTAAAAAGCTGTGCCATTTTACAAACATATATATATATATATATATATATATATATTTAAAACACACACACACATGCATATATGGTATATCAGTCTGGCGAGTAAACTAAAAAATGTACTAGCCAATGGCGATTCAATTGCCAAGGTGTCCGTAGAGGGTTGATCTCAAATAAATGCTGTTTTTTATGTTTCTATTTATCAAAAAAATCTTGGAAAAAAGTATCATGTGTTCACAAAAATAATAAGCAGCGCAAATATTTTTAACATTGATTATAATAAGAAATGTTTGTTAAGCACCAAATCAGCATATTAGAATGGTTTCTGAAGTATTTTGTGACACTGAAGACTGGGATAATTTTTGTAAATCACATTTAGTCCTTAAGAACAGGATTTGTAAAGAAGAATGTCGGAGGATTTCGATATACGCCAAGAGGAGACTGGTTTTCCTTTGCTAAAGTAAGGAAACTTTGCTTCCTTTGCTCCTGTTAACAAACGTTGGTTTTCACGAGAAATCACCAGCGCATGCGCAACGCTGACCTCATACGTCATGCTCCCACAGCTGCTTCCATGTACAACTGTTGGTGCAAGCTACATTAAAGTGATTATTACGTTTTGAATATGGATATTTTTCTTACAAAATCACATTGATTTGCTACAGGACGCCTTTGTTCACGCCCCCGGAGCCGTGTCAGGCACTTTTTATTATGGATGGATGCGCTTTATTTCACTTCTTTTGGACTGATAAACTGCAACACCCGCTGACTGCCATTAAACAGCTTGGAAGGTCAAACACAATTTTTTATATAACCCTGATTGGATTCGTCTGAAAGAAGAAAGTCATATACACCTAGGATGACTTGAGGGTGAGTAATTTATGGACTAATTTTCATTTTTGGATGAACTAACCCTTTAAGCTGTTAGCTCATCTGCCAAAATCTAAAATCAAAACTAAATCAAACTGGCTGAAAAACAAATTCAGTTTCCTTGCACTTTGAAAACAATGCTCACTGTTTTGTTCTTCCTCACAGGTTGACCACACTAAGCAGCATGTCTGCATCTGATGAGCTGGATGACTCCCAGGTTCGCCAGATGTTGTTTGACCTGGAGTCTGCCTACAACGCCTTTAATCGTTTCTTACACTCTTCTTAAATGTTCATTCCCTCTCTGAGCTCTTTGAAC